ATGATTGGTGATTAAAACACATTTATACATGTTCTTGTTTAAATAACCTCATCATGATTGGTGGTTAAAACACATTTATACATGTTCTTGTTTAAATAACCTCATCATGATTGGTGATTAAAACACATTTATACATGTTCTTCTTTAAATAACCTCATCATGATTGGTGATTAAAACACATTTGTCCATGTTCTTGTTTAAATAACCCCATCATGAGTGGTGATTAAAACATATTTATACATGTTCTTGTTTAAATAACCTCATCATGATTGGTGATTAAAACACATTTGTCCGTGTTCTTGTTTAAATAACCCCATCATGAGTGGTGATTAAAACATATTTATACATGTTCTTGTTTAAATAACCTCATCATGATTGGTGATTAAAACACATTTGTCCGTGTTCTTGTTTAAATAACCCCATCAAGATTAAAACACATTTGTCTATGTTCTTGTTTAAATGGTCCCTTCATGGTTAGTGGTTAAAACACATTTGCCAATGTTCTTGTTTAAATGGTCCCTTCTTGATTGGTGGTTAAGCATTTTTGTCAGTATTCTTGCTACATTAATTCCAGTATGGTTAGGTTCATATTCTTATTTTAATAGACCCCTTGCTTTCTCTTACTCATTATTTTAATTATCAGACAATAATTTAACATAGTGCATTGTGATTCTCTTAATTTAAATTGTTCAGATATCATTGTGTCCTTGACATACACAATAATGGTTGTTTCTATTGAGATTATTGTAGCCTCAATAAATTCATCGTGTTTGCTTGTTTATACAGTATGTACAGATTTGTCATTAGATATCAGCCAGATCACGGCATCGACTGGGAAGAGGAAACATACAGACGGCTACTTATCAGAACCATCAAAGAAAAGTCTTTCATGGCCAGAGACTCAAGACATGATCTCACCACAAGAGGTCGATGTTAAACGTCTGTCACTTGACCTGAAAGAGGCTCTGAAAGCAGAGAAGGAAGAATCTCTCTGTTTTATGTCCAAGATGGAAGATCTGATCAAAGATGAAGTATTAGATGCTTCTAACAACAGTAGTAAGTTTATCTTACTGTTGTCAAAGTATCTGAAGGAATTTTTTACTTCTCTAATAAATAACCATTGTACATATGCAGCGTGTTGATGAAAAGGAAAAATATAAATACTAACATAAATTTGAATTTAATTTTCCTTTTACATTTTACCTTGATTTGTTTAAATAAAACTTAAAGATACAAAGTATTAATTGACATCTATCTTTTTTTTTCAATTCTCCCTTTCTTGTACCACAGTCTGTGATAAACATGGGATAATTTGTTTCAGACTATAACCTGTTTTTTTTCAATTCTCCCTTTCTTGTACCACAGTCTGTGATAAACATGGGATAATTTGTTTCAGACTATAACTTTATAGTCTGAAACAAATTATCCCATGTTTATCACAGACTGTGGTACAAGAAAGGGAGAATTGAAAAAAAACCCTTGTTTTTGTATATTTTATACCAAAATGTAACATCCTTAGAAAATATAAAAATTCCTGTAAAGCTTTCGGTGATCTTTAAAATCAACTATTTAATATATCTATGATTCACAGGTCATTCTTGGTCTCGACAAGCAGCTTTCAGTAGAAAAAGATCGGCATCTTCCAGCCCACGATTTGTTTCATTACTTTCTTCAGATGTATCATGGGATAATTCTGCTACCAGGTGTAAGATGAGTGACGAGGATGACATGGAAGTCGTGCTTGACTGTCTGAGGTCCAGTTTAAACTCCCAAAAGGGAATTAACCAGCATCTCGAACAGCAGTTGAAACTGTTAATGGATTACTAATACTGAATGTATAAAAACGGTTTTGTAGACAAAATATAATTCCTGTATTGCTTTTTTTAATGTGTTCACTTTATAATCATGGGAACTGAATTACAGTTAATAGATTAAGAGAAAAACTGAGTACCGAGTAAGAATTATTTCACTTTCGATTCTGGTGTTTTAAACATACATAGTAGAAACATTGTACCTTGCTTGGAGTGAAGAAACAGGCATTGAAAATATTCCTCTATATTATTGTTTTACAAGAGTAGGGATGACTTAAAACTGACACATAGAGAAATATAAAAAATACCCTTCAAAGGTTTATGTGTTGATCATGAATTTCATAATATACTTCAATCACTGTCGAATGCTAAACATGTCTTCAGTTTGGATTGAACACCCTTGGAGTATATTATCAGTAAGCTTGCAGACTTATAATGCTAAAACTTGGGTTTGATCCCACGGTGCAGCTTTGAATTTAATCGAAGGAACTAAACGGTTTCGATTGAACACTAGGAAAAGAATATTTTATTGTGTAATGTTAAAATGATCAATCAGTAGGTAACTAGTTATCCAGTAAAACGTTACTAGAACGTGAGAAAATACACAAGCTGTTATTGATGAAGAAATGACCTGAAACTTCAGAACAAGGATATATATACACCTGGAAAAAAGTTAAGCACCCCCGTGTTTTTTCAAGTGATTCAGATTCGATGTTCTTGTGACTGATTATAAATTACCATTCAATCTAAACGTGTTTATCAAATGAAATTATGCATTATTGGGCACAAGAAAACAAGATTATCACCGTAAAATAACAATTTTTAATTTACATATCATGACATCAAAATATGG